TTTTTTCCTTCACTTGACTGTTTTGTTCTTTCCTTGATACTTTCAGCCTGCATCAAACAATAGTAACCAAAAAGAACTCATAGATTAATTCCTCCGGCTTTGTTTAAAAGAGCTAAACACCTCGTTCCAACTGAAACTGTCCCAATGAATTTCAAAGATAGCACCTACCTCACCAGCATCTTAAATGCGGTGAAAGAAACTTCTTTTAGTTACAGAAGATCAGATTGAAATCTGAAATGGTACTGTTTTTACAGATAGTGGTAATGGCTGTCAAATGAATGCTGAGCAAAAGAACAAAAGATTAGCCAAAAGCATCCTAATCTCTTTGAAAGAGTAAGTACATTTTTTAATGCACAGACAACTAACTTAGTGGCATTTGTGTAATAAATTAAATGGAATTTCGTATGCATTACAAATCCCCATTAACCAATTCAGTGAGGAGGAAAAAAATTAACTGCTTGAGACAGAAATACAAGTTCAAGTTCAAGTAACAAAGTTTTGTGGCAAACTGATCTTTTCCTACATTAGATTAGGAATTAAAGCTTTAGACAAGCTCACAACTGTCTCTGGACTGCGGGGCTTCAAAGCTTTGCAGGATTTTGCCACTGTAAATGCTTCTCTGCTGCTTCCAGGAAGAGTAAAGGTGCTGGAGAACAACAGCAACAGAGTTCGCAGGGCATCAGCCAGACTGCAGCAGGGAGGAACCTGGCTTGCATGAGTGATGCTGGAAGCAGTGCAAACATGCAACTTGTTGGAGGCTCAGAGAACCCCGACTTGTCCTCAGAAGGGCCACTTCTTTGTACTTATGGTCCTGAGAAAGATGTGGAGCATTGATGTCCACAATCAATGGGACCCTTAGCTTTCCAAAATGCTTCAAGAGAGAAAGCACAGCATCGTGTTTGTCATGTGCTGTCCCTGGGAAAGCATCGTTATTTATTTGTACTTTTGGCGTTCTCGTTCTCAGCCTGCAGATGCCCACCTGATAGGGGTGTCTTTGAAAAGCTGCCCTTGTGCTCCCTGTTTCTGTAGAATTATGCAGCAACATTCATGCTGGCTGTGCACAGAGCAAATGGATGTGCTGGGAAACACCAACTATTGAGGGACCGTCCCCAGCCACCAAGGCATGGCTCAGGACATGGGGACCACCACTAGAAAGCATAGTTCCAAGGTTTTGGCTAGGTATATTGCCATATTTTGTGATGGATGGTCTCCTCCCTCCACTGTTCCTCAGCACTGAGTGCAGATTCAGCACTCACAGGAAAACAGAGAAATAAGAGAAAAAACATTCTCCCCCTTAAGAACAATGAAGAAGCTACCCCTTCATGGTGAATTTTAGCAAAGAACCCCCATTAAGAAGTGCAGACCCGTTTCCTGTCTTGTTTCATAGTGAAGAGCCAAGTCCCTCTCTACCCTAACCCAGAGGCAGGACTGGCTGATCTCAGGGAAACCAAATGACACTTCTGTGTCCTGTAGGTTTTCTTCTTTAATATACATTTGCAATGCCTCTGGAAGTTCAGGGAGCTGGATGGGTCCCAGTGCCCTGTTGTCCACATCATATGAGATGAACTCCTCTCCATGACAGGAAGAGCCCAGAAATCACATACTGCTGAGGACCAATCATCTCAACCCTACTGTCAATCCATGATGTCAGTGGCAGGCTAAACAGCACACTAATGTGGGCCTGCTCCTCTGCCCAGGAGTAAATTTAATCATCTCATTTCATGACTTGAAAGCCTCTCACAAGATGCAGAAGAGTGAAGGAGAGTGCTTCCAGAATGAGAAATGTGAGCCTTCAGAGTGCTCACATGCGGTATCCCATAACCCCGCATACCCCTCATGACATGGTCCGCCCTGAGCATGTTATCCCCAAAGCAAAAGGTCACTTGATGGGCAGGGCTCCCAGCCCAGAGCAGCTCTGCACAAAGCAGTCCCCCTGCCCCACAGTGCAGACATCAGGAAAGAGGAATATTCAAGACCAGGAATGCTGAGAGGAGCAGAGCTGTTGGGATGGGGAAGACCAGTCAGTCAATCACAGTCATTTGCAGCTAATTGTCAGATGGAATGATCAGCCCACGCACCACATATGTAGTTGGGTCAGTCAATGCACTTACTGGATGTACTCAGACATGACAATAAAAGGTAAAATATGAGCTGGACAGGAAGGAAACCTAGTTCAACAGGAATCTATCTCAGTTTCATTTAATGCTGCCCCAGTCCTTAGGCAGCCTGGGCTCTAGAGTGACACAGCATCTGCTCTTTCTGATCCCCATCTTACAACCCCACATCACTTGTGCATACAGCGAACAAGATTCGATCACTAACATCTAAGACACAAATACACAACAGTACAACATTGCTCGTGTGTCATTTTCTACACAGCTTTCTAAGAGGACAACAATGCTGTAGAGACTGAATACCAGTGCACAGCAGCTTCTAAAAGCAACTTGAAAGTGTTGGCATTCTTTATGAAGGAGAATGTGTATCAGGACAGATTCCATTGTTAATTATCGTCTATGTCAGTAGCGCTGATGCTGCTATCATAGGATTATTGCACTACACAAGTGAACAAGATAGATGCTGTTATTTTATATATCCCTTGGTATTTAGTTTACACTGTAGTTCATAACAGTATTTCATTCTCCTGCACTTAAAAATACATTTTGTTGCATAAATACACTTTTGAAAATAAAACAGGCAGTTGGCAACACCCAGGTATCACAGATTTCAGTTCCAACTAACTGCATGAAGACATGTAACACTGTGCAAAACCACAATATCATAAACACATGCATGAATGACTAATACAACAGAGCTGATGCCATCCAAAGTGTCTACAGCTCTGCCCATCTACATGTGCAATCACGAGAACAGATCCAAATGCATGTAGTGTGCACAGCTACATCCAGATCAGTCCAGTGACATCCATGTATAATCCCCATGTTTGATTCTTGTTGTCATGTCCTGAGAAGGCCACGTGGGAAAGCCAGCACTAACATTGGTGCAGACTCCTTTGCACTGTGCAGGCCTGTGCTTTGGCACTTGGCCTCTTATCGGAAGTTCAAGGCCAAATTTTGCTCTTGGTATCACTGAGTATATCTCCCAAAAGCCAGTAGATAGTTCTGAAGGCATCCAATACATCTGCAAATGATCCAGAAAGGTCTCAGTCTACATTATCCTTTTGATGGGTTTCCTATGGGACGTAGCAGCTGAGCCAGACTAATGACTCCGTGATGCTGGTAGATGAACACCATCTTCCATCTCCTCGACTGGCTCTGCATCTCAATTTTTTAGTAGATTCAACTCAGTATGTTGGCAGAAAATTGCCTGAGTTCCCCTTTTTTTTTGCTGTTTTCTGATGGGACACTGAGTTGAAGTCGCTCAGTGATGAGGTCTAACACAAATCAAAGAAAGGTGAGGGGCAGGGAAAAAAAAAAGGAAAAAGAAAGGAGAAAAGCAAGCCCCATTTTGGAGCCAGCTATCCTCATCTTAAGGAAATCACAGCTGGGGAGCAAAAGCTCAGCTTTTGCTTTGGAGTACAACGTAGCCAGGAGTGCAGCCACCCACCTGCAGTGTCTCACTGTAGCCACTGCACCCAAGCACCATCATATAGCCTGTGCTGGACAGGAGCAGGACAGTGTTTTGCCACCTGCCCTGGATTTCATGGTAAGAGGTAATCGGTATCACAAGCCAAGGTTAGAGACCACAGTTCTTCATTTAGGCAGAGGGGAAGGCTGGTAAGACTTGGCAGCATTACCTGCTGGCAACACTGCTGTGTCTTAGCACCGGGAAGCTATACAGCATCACTGTGAGCCTGCAAAAAGCAGGTGAAATATCCTCAGTCTGAATTGCAATTAACCGAGTTGCCCTCTCCCAACTAAAATACAGAGAGTAGGACATCTGCACTCCTACCAGTATGAGAGAAAACCATGAGAGTGGTTTAAATCCAAAGTCTCCTTCCCAGAGTGTTAACCTTTCAGGGACTTAATACAAATGGTAATTAGATAAACTGTGATCACTCAATTCTTTTAACTATCTACAAATAAAGACTGAATAATAAGTTGTATTAAATGCCCTTCAAAAATAGTAGGTTTATTTTTGTACTATGATACTACTTGGGTATCATGTTCTGTCCATATGAGTTAAACCTCTTCAATACATAGTGTATATGAACTTGCCAGGCAGTCTGCCATCAGCACTGCTGGAGTTACTGCAGGTATCACAAAGCAGAACAAAACTGTTCCTATAATCACAGAATCAGAGTATGGGTAAGGTTGGAAGGGACCTCAATCAATTATCTTTTTCAAATCCCCTGTTCTAGCACATCATCCTAAAGCACATGGCACATCATCTGGATTGTGTCCAGATGATTCTTGAATATCTCCAGTGAGGGCAAGTCCACAACATCTTTGTACAACCTGTTCCTATGTGTGGTCAGAGAGGTACTCTAGACCCTTAGTCCTTTGTCACCCTCCACTGGACCTGCTCCAGGAGCTCTGCGCCTACTACGGAGCCCAGAACTGGACACAGCACTGCAGGTGAGGCCTCACCAGGGCTGAGCAGAGGAGAAGGATCACCTCCCTTGACCTGCTGGCAAATGCTCTTCCAAATGCAGCCCAGGATGTCACTGCACTGGCCTTCTTGGCCACCAGGGCACACTGCTGGCCCATGGACAGTCCTTGTTGTCCACCAGCACTCCCAGTTCCATCTCTCCACAGAGCTGCTTCCAGCAGGTCACCCCSAGCCTGTGCCGGTGCCTGGGGCTGTTCCTTCCCAGGTGCAGGACCCTGCATTTGCCTTTGCTCAGTTTCAGGAGGTTCCTCTCTGCCCATCTCTCCAGCCCGTCCAGGTCCTTCTGAAGGGCTGCACAGCCCTCTGGGCTATCGGCCACTGCTCCCAGCTTTGTGCTGTCAGTGAAATTGTTGAGGAGGCCTCTGCCCTTCACCMGAGTCATTGATGGATCAGTTAAACAACACTGGGCCTGCTACTGAACCTCAGGAGACACCACCAGGGACGGGCCTCTAACCTGACCCTGTGCCACTGATGACCTCTGGGATCTGCTGTCCAGCCAGTTCTCAATCCACCTCCCTGTCCACTCATCCAGTCCTCTCTTCCTGAGTTTGCCTATGAGGGTGTTGTAAGAGACAGCGCTGGAAGCTGTGCTGAAGGCAACATCCACTGCTCTCCCTCATCCATCCAGCTAACTGATTGCAAAAGGCAATCAGGTTGGTCAAGCACAATTTACCTTTAGTGAATCCATGCTGACTATCCTGATCACCTTCTCTGGACAGAGGTGGCCTCCAGAATAAGGCCCTCCCTCACCTTTCCAGGGATTGAGGTGTGGCTAACATGCCAGTACTTCCCTGGGTTCTTTTTCTTTCCCTTTTTGAACACTGGGGTGAGATTTGCTTTCTTCAATCTTCAGGCACCTCCTCAGCTCCATGAATTTTCAATTGTGATCATGAGCAGCCTCAGCTTGGTGTCCAGCAGATCTTTTAGCACTAGTGGATGCATCCCATCAGGGTCCAGGGACTTGTGGATATATAGGTGTTCTCCAATTCAATTCTCCTTGACCAAGGGAAGGTATCCCAGCATTCCTTTACCCTGTCACCTGGCCCAGAGATCCCCGAAGGCTGGTCTTGACAGTGAAGACCAACATAAAGGCGGTGTTCAGTAACTGCGCCTTCTCTATGTCCTCTGTTACCCCCGCTTCACTTAGTAACAGGTCTGTATTATCCTTCCTTTTACTTTTGTTATTGATGTACTTGCAGAAACCCTGCTCCTTGTCTTTAACATCCTTGGCCAGATTTCATTCCCGTTGGGCCTTGACCTTCCTCATGATAATATTGAGACTATCACAATAAGCACACACACTCCACAACTTATCCCCTAACCAGACAAGCAGAGGTTGCTGATGTGCCCTGCTAAGTCAGGAGTATCGGAGATGTTGCCTTACTTTTGCTGGACACTGGCACAAGCCATCCTAATACTGTGGTAATCAACAACTTAGGCAGCATGTGGAGTGAAAGCATCATGGGAAATGCTTCCTTTGACTTCCCAGTCCAAAACCCACGAGTGCCAGTCTTCTTTCTTCTGAGGTCTGTGTTGGGGCTGAATTACAGCACTGATGTGAAGCAGCACTTTAACCAGCTGCCTGCAGCACGGCCCATGCACAGCCAGTGATCGGCCTCCTCAGAGCAAAGGTAGGGGGGCTGGGCAGGGGAGGAGAGGTCAAAACTACTACAGATCTACTGCCCCACAAAGGTTAGATTACACCCATCCCCATACTGCAGAACAGGAAAGCAAATGTAGGGAAGTACATCAGATACTGCAAAAGTTGTCACTTGGAAGTGTTGAGATGAGTGTCAGTGGGGGAGAAACGGAGAGCAAACTTCCCCAGAGGGCAGCTCCATGGTTGAGCTCTCACCCGGCATCTTGAGAGAGGTCCCTGGCATGGAACCCTTGCACTCCAGCATGTGCTACACGCTGCTGTGTGAATCCTCAGTGGAAAACCGCAAAGAAATCCCACAGCATCACTGGCCTTGCAAAACTATTTTTAACTATTATCACACTAAAAGCACTGCTGTGAAAAGGCAAGGCAGTGCAAACAGCAATCAGATGTTTGGCCTCATCTGGAAATTGGGCAGCTGTCTTTCTGGCTTCGCCTGAAATCTCTCTTCTGCCTCCTTCACCTACAAGTCAGATATGCCATGGCACTGAGAGTCATGGACACACTTGCATTCACTTCAGCAGTGTCACAATTTGGTCTCAGGCCCCAAAACCAAGTCAGAAAAGGAGGGTTGTGCAATATGAACAGCTTGTGCTCACCAGTCCACTGCCTACCCTGAGAGAACAGATGGCAAATGGAAGACTGTAGAGCTGGTGGTTACCCTGCCATGGCATGCCAGACATAGGAAACGCAAACTTCGTACCAGCCTTACCACATGTGGAAAACAAAGAGATCAGAGCCAGGCTGTGTCACCTGCATAAAGCTTCCTGGGAGGAGAGATATTTATTGTAGTGGAAATCTCTGCTCTTAAGATTTTCAGTGGCATATCTGCTACCTATTTCATCCCCAAAACAGACCTTCAGTAAGGCTTAAGTGAGATGCAGACACTCTGCCACCTCCTGCACACAGGAACATTTCATCCTAGGAACACAGAATAAAGGGTAGAGGTGCCAAGTGGCTTATTTCTATTTGCTACCTTTGTTTCACATCTTCTTTGGAACTAGTGATAATTAAAGTCATTGCACAGTTGCAGATCTAAAGAATATGAAAGATATACAGGAATGTGAAGAAATACAGTCAAGCATAAAGAAACACAACAATTAAAAATTGTAAAACAAGAGAGCCTCTCAGTAACAGTTTGGTCCAATACCCAGGGGTAGCCAGCTGAGGTTGTCTCTTTCACTGATTTCAGCAGGCACTAGATTACTCCTGCAGACTTGTCTAAAGTCTCCCCACAGCCCTAGCACATCCTTGTAAAACTTACACTAAGTTTAGTTGATTGTAAAGTACTGTACCTAATTTTAAGGGTCAAGAATTATAATTGTTCACCGAAATAGTGAATTTGTTAGTGTTCTCCCCATACTTGTAGTAGAACAACTACACTACAAAGTAGAACAGCAGAACTTGTTATTTCAAGGCTTTTAGATCCAAATTCTGCCTTCAGATTCACATGCACATTTTCTATTGTCTGTAACAGAAACAGTTGATGTGCAGCTAAGTAAAATTGGTATTCCAGCACTTAGAACTACCCAACTTTTTAACTTTCTGTAGAAATTCTTTTAAAAATTCTGTAAAAATTATTGTTACACTCTCTATTGTTTTGTGGATTTCAAATGATGGCTTCAGACTGAAAAGCTGATGCAATTTTTCTGTACAGCTTGGGATAAGACTGCAGATTTTTTTTCACTGTTGGTTTTCCCAGAATACTGAAAGAATACTCTATGTCAATAGATTTTATATTACATACATCCAGCAACAAAATACTAACAACCTATGTTTAAAGAGGTAAAATTATGTATGTGACAATGGTTTTGCCATTATACTTTTGCATATTCTTGATAACAATACTTTTTAGCCTAAACACCAGCAACATTTTGATCCCAGAATATCAACAAACCCAAAAGTTAAAGACAGCCTTTAGCTGACCTCAGGATTTTTTTAGCATAAATGAGCCTCAGGAAACATAATAAAAACAGACCAAAAAATGCTGTAAATGCTTTTGTGAATTTACATTAATGTATTTCTTATTTCTTGGTCTTGCTGATCAAGAATAAGCTAGCAGGTAAGAAGTAGCAGCCAATGTTGAGTTTGTCTCCTCCACTGTGGGAGGTCATGTTAAAATACTAAGTTGAAACAATGCTTCATAACAGAATTGCTACATAAGCCTCCCTGGGGATTTACACTCATTAATGTGTGCATGTTAAAATGGTATTTCCAGTCTCTTTTGTGTTGCCTGAGAACCATTTTTATCCTTTTAAAATCTGCATTCATATTATAACCCATATGTACCTTTCATTTTTGCATTAACACTATAAATACTGTTAGCAATACTAAACTATTTCTGCTGACTTATTTGTAAAACAAAAATATATTATATGTTTATATATTCTTATAAAGTGAATTAACATTGGAGAGAGGGCTATGAAGGGGAATAGTGTACAATCACAGTTGATGTGTATTACTGAGCACAAATTCAATGCTTGAAACTAAAAGGAAAAGAATAGTGTTTGGTGTTCTTTCAAGCTGTGTCAGATGAAGAGTCATAGGATGCTGACACTATGAAGTTGCCAGAATTGGAGTGGCTTGCCATGGACTGGGCAGCCTGCTGGCTCAAGTTATTGCAGATCAGCACCAGCTGGTTGCTCTGCGCTTCAGAGAGGGTGCTGCAGCTCTGGTAGACACTGAAGTTGGTCTTGCGGCCGGGGATGTTGCCTTTCTCACACATYGTCTTTACCATCTTGGCAAGCTTGTTTTTCCCCAGGGCTTGGCAATTGTACCAGTGAAGAGCAGCCAAGTTGACGACGGGTTTGATGGACAGGTAAAAAGGCGCATCCTCGTAGCGCATGGCCGGAGGGCGCCGCTGCGCGTACTCCTTGTAGTCCTGCACCGGGCAGGTCTGCGGGGAGTGCTGGGTGGCGTACACCCGCGAGTCCGTCCCGCCTCTCTTGCTCTTGGCACTCACATCCCCGTTGTCCGGCCCCATCCACTCCAGGTACTCCAACCCAGTCTCTGTCACCCGCAGCCGGATGTCTCCCCACTTGAGGGTGGACCCATGGAAACCCGTGCAGTGTCCAAACGCCTTAGTGTTGTTGAGCCACACGAGGTTCAGCAGCCCTTCAGGATTGTACCGGCTCAGTAAGCCTCTTTTGCGCAAGATAAGCTCATCAGCAAAGGTAAGCTTCATGGATTTGTGTGGCTTATTTCCTTTTCCTTTACATCTCAGCTCTATCTGCTTTTGCTTTAGAGCTTCCTGGGACCTCTTGAACTCCTTATCCCTTGTAATACTGTATCCATACCTGTGCTCTTTGAGATACCGCTCCAGTCCGCACTGATAGTTGGCCAGACTGTTCGGCTCATATTCAGACCCATCCTTTTGTCTGGCATCCACGAAGAAGGAAGCAAGATAGGCATCAAGCTCTTTGCAGGGGATAACATAGATCTCACGGGTCTCAGAGGGGTACTTGGAAATGAGGAATTCTCGGAAATTGCGGAGAGCTGTCTGTGTGCTGCGAATGGTCTTCTCGTTCTGCTCCCTGCTGAGTTCTGCTGCTCTCTCATCCTGGTCTGGAAGAGGAAGAATGGGACAGAAAAAAGAAAGCAGAAGCAGTGGGTTAGTGGGATGAGCTTTTTCCTAAAAGAAATTTCCTCAAAAAGGGAAGAACTTAAAATCAATTTCAAAAAGAGCACTGGCGAAGATCTTTGCATACCTATCACGATTGAAAAGCCAACTTCAGTTTCACAAATGACGCACTTATGTGATACAAAACTAAGTGAGATCTTCACGATTCTGGGACACAATTTTGTGCATGGAGATTTGTGAAAAGCATTGAGATTAGAGGCAATCTGTTTTTCACAAAAAAGGCGCAGTTGGAAGGATTTTCTGTGGATCCCAATGCTATGTGCAGGCCCCAGACTCAGGAATAAGCCCACTCTGAATTRTTTCATTTGTGAAAGCAGAGGTTGTAAAGGTTACATTTTTTTCCTACAAAAAAGAGCTAAAACATCACATTTATGACCATAATAGATCCCTACAATTAATGACATATGAAAACACAACATTGAGCTGCTATCACCATGATAGCTGTTACTGGCAGCCGATTTTCTGGCTGATCATGAGAGAAACATATAAAGGAAAAGCTTTATAAGTTACATGTGTTYTTAAGGACTGCTTTCTTGGCATATGCAAACTATCTGCACAAAAATGCAGCTTAAAGCATATAGGTGGAACTGCCATTTCAAATGTGATAAACCTTAATGGTTTTAGAAAATTAACAACAAATGCAAAGCAGGAAAAATTCAATTCTTTGACTATTTTCTGTAATTGCATGTGGGACACTTTTTGTCTCTCTTCCACTTATTATGCAGAAGAGGAGAAAAAAATCAAATCCTTTTTTGTTCAATCTCATTGTGAAACCCATACATTTTGGCATCCTTTTAGCTGTGCCACAGCAACACTTGCCAGGTGTTCCACCCAAGATACACACACAAAGTGGTATGAGATCAGGTGAAGTTCCCACTGTCTCTCTGCCATTCAGGTGAAGTCATTGTGTCACGCTGTGTAGCACACCACTGGCTTGGCACCAGTGTTCAGACACTTGCTTCCTTCCTGCAAACCTATTAAACAGGGAGAAAGCAGCAGGGAAAGAACGGTAGCCTTTCCTTCTCTACCCCACTGGCAATGTTCCAATGGTGCAGAAACACTGGTGCACAGCTGGGCAGCTTCTCCTTCCACCAGTCTACAGGGTGACTCTCAAGAAAGGTCTCACTCATGTCATGTCATCTCACCACCTCCATACCACATGTGCAGACAGAGGCATGGGGAGTGACTTGCCCCAGGACTTCCCAGCAGGACAAAAACAGGACTGAATTTATAACCCTTAGGACCAGGTCCTGTGTCTTCAGAGCGAGACATCCTACATCCACAGCACTCATCTGTGGAGACAAGGTCCTCAAATCCTGTACAAACCACAGAGAAGTGGGCATCTGCAACTGAGGCCTTTGGGGGCTTCTGGCAGCAGGAAAACATGCTGCCACAAAGCACTGAGGTTTGCTTGAACTGTGCTCAAGGGGAAAAAGAAAGGTCACCTGCCTGATTCAGAAACTCATTTTAATACTGATGTCAGAATCAAAGAGCTTCTAGCAGCCTGCAGTGAAGCCTCATGCTTAGGCAATGTACAAAATAGATCCTTTTAGTATGGCTAGATGGAGGCTGGAAGCAAAAAGACAGCCCTATTTAAAGCTCCAAAACAAACATTTACTCTGGTATTTTGTTCACTGCACCCACCACCACTTATTACAGAACTGTATAAGTAATCAGTGCTTTGACTGACAGCCCACATCCTAAGCTCTATTTCAATATAAACAGCACATATAATGGCTCAGTTTTATAAATGTCATCAATCACTTCTTCTTAGAGGACAGCCTGTCACAACACAGCAGTGACACCCAGTCAGTCATTTATGTTACAGCATCTTTCCTTAATCTGAAAAGGAAATTGCCCTGTCTGCAGCTAACAGTTATAAAACTCATGCGGAATTAAAGATTCTCCCAATTTACATGAGCAAAAGAGTACCCCAGAAACACTGCATTCCTGCAGCAGTGTGTTGTGTGAGAAAGGCAGGTGAGAAATGTTAAAACATAATGGGCACGGTTTTCATCCAGCCACATCGGGAGAGTTACCTCTACTCTGGCTATGAATCCCGGCCGAAGTGGTACTAGTGGACTATTCTCTTCCTATGAGACCACTCAACTATTGGTGATATATCATGTAGCATGGCACAAATGCAGGGAGTTTCCCATATAACACTTCCCAGATGTTTGCTTTGTCTTGCTTTGCTGCATTTTGCTGAATAGAGACCAAAGCTCTTTTTAATATTCTGTGGAGCCAGTGGAAACCACTGGAAACACTGGTGGGGATCTACATTAGTTCCTTGATGACTGCAAACATAAACCCATTTGCTCTTGGACCTGTACATCACAACATCATTCTTCAGTGAATCTGGATTCCAAAACTGGGTAAAAGAACTGGGAAAAAAAGGTCACAAAGTGCCCCTCAATACAAGAGAACACCTCTGTAGCAGAACAACCCCGATCTACAAATTGATGTGGGCTAGAGAATGGGGACATGTTATATATGCTTTCACCTTTCTTGTCATCTTCTGTAGTTGTCTGTTGTTAGGCTTTAGGAATACAGATACTCTCATGTTATGGTCAGAACCAATCAACCAAGAATTATTGTCTTTATTGATCTATGAATCCAAGCTACACTTAGTGTGTTTTCTTTGTTAAAATTCAGCCTTTGGAACGAGTAGTGCTGTTGCCCCTGTTTTACAGACTACAAGCAGAAGCATGAGAAAATGAATCGACGTGGAGATGCACTTCCTGAGGTCCTGCCCCTTCAGCTGTGTCACTGCACGAAGGACCTGGTTGTATTTCTTGTGTTTTCTATGATATCCCACATCAGAGTTTTATTTCCAAGAAAACCACAGTGTGGCAGAAAAAGACAATACAACCCACCTTACTGGGGGGACCAGGGTAAACACCCAACTATGAGTTTGAAAAAGTAATGAGTACATAAGATGTTCTAGCTCAAATGCAGTGAAAGAGATAAAGTGACCAGGCAGAGATTAAACAGACAACTTAGTGGGAGCGGAATGTCCCAGGCTAGCCCACAACCATCAGATGATCTCTCCCACAGAGCAACAGCTGTTTTCTGATCTTTTCATAATCTGATCTTAACACAGCCAAGACTTAATATTATCAGCAGAGTTATCAAACTCAGGCTTGTTTTAATTTCAGCTCACACACATACACACACTTGGATTCCCTGAAAAGGACATAACCTCTGTAATTACACATGGCAGGGGGAAAGGCACTTGCTTTCATGACAGACAGATAAAGATTGCTAATGTTCAGAGAGCATTTGTGACATCAGTGGGAGTCACAAAGTTATTATTGCAAACAGTCCTAAACTCTGTGTATGGTAAGCAGTGAGATCTCACAGACATTAAAAGTAAGGTGGATTTTCTTGATGGTAATCACATCACCAGCCAAAATCCTCTCTGCCAAATATGTGTCCTGACTAARAAAATGCCTTTTTTGGAAGGTCTGCTTCCACTATATGCTTTTATTCAAGTGAAAAAGCCTAGTAAACCACACACGAAGCATCATGTATCTATACTGGAGCTAAGTGCCCTCTCTCCACTCCCCAGCAGCTTGCAGGCTGGCTCTTGACCCTGTATTGCAATTACTGAAAAGCAGTGATACCCAGCCTCTGAGTCGTGGCAACATGCACCCCATTGAAACAATTCGAGTAAACCACAGCCTGCTCCTACCTTTTTCTCCTGCCCGTTCCTCTTTCAAGAAGGTATCTATAGGCAAATGGCATTCTCAAGTCTACAATCTCAGTGAGGACAGGTCCCAGTGCTGTGCAAGGGAGTTATGGTCAAGCCACAGTGGGGAGCAACTGCAGGAGCCTCTGATGAATATCCCCCACAGGAAGTTGTGATACTGCTTTCCTGTCAGAAGCAGCTGAATGCCACTGCATCCTGGAATATCAGTACCCTTTCTGCATGCAAAACATAGAAAACTGACAATTGGTTTTCACTGTATCACAAGAATAGTCCAGTGAAAATCATTCTCATGTCTTGCTGACAAATTATGAAGGTGTCCACAGCAGAAGTGCCTCTAAACATTTGCAGAAACATCGTGAGACTAAGCAGAAGAAAGTGCTTGTGTATGTTTTCTTGAATTGCTGCCTTACCCCTCTGATGCTATTGCTAAATTCGTTTAACAATTGAAGTTCCATGTTTCCGCTATATTTAGTCAAACTCTATGTAGTTAAATATTTTCAGAACAGGCTTTCACTAGCATGTAACATCTGTAGTATGAGAGAAATTAATTAATTAATATCCACTTACAAAAGATGCTGGTTTTGGAAAAAAAATTACAATTAAGTTAATCTCCTCCAACAAAATTATCAGCAAAATGTTTTATGATTCTAAAATGAAAAAGCTTTAGATTGTATCAGAAGAAAAAGGGCATAGACTGCAAGCAAATGAGCATGGGAATGTTTATTCATTGGTATCTCCATGAAGTAAAGTCACTAAAATAAACTTTAGTTGCCTGAACGTTTTTTGCAAGGTATAGAATAGTCTGATAATGAATGCTCACTCAGTCACTAGTGCTAATTTCCAGTTTGTATTCTGGAAATACGAATACTTTCTCACAGCAGCTTGAAAAGATTTGAGATGCAATTTGGCTTCTGGCAAAGCCAAGAATAAAATACACATCAATATTAATGGGACTTCCACATGATCCTTAGATGTCAGAAAATTTGTAGCCATGACAAGGGATTAGGAAGTTATGTTCTCCTGTCACTGACTGGATCATCATTTTTTTGCAGTGGGTACTACTGATTGCTAATGAACATTGCAAAACAGCAGCACCCTGAGAAATTTACAAGGAAAGAAATTTACAATTTCTTCTCCACCTGATGTATATCTGAGCCAATCTGGCATAAAGGTTCTAAAAATGCATTTTCTAAATAAAAAATGATCCCATTG